CTGAACTACATTAAAGTAGCAGCCAAAATAAACCATTTTATAATCTCCAAAGACGACAAAATTAACATATTTGGTAAACTTGGAATAGTAGCTCTTTGGTTGTTGATCCCAAAAATATATATATTACAAGTAAACACTGCAACGTCTTGATAAAGCAAGCAGACATGTTCAACCTCGACGACAGCGTCCTTTCAAGCAGGTGGACTGTTACATTTTTATCTTTTCAATAATTATTAATAAAAAGATGTAGTATCAAAATATATCATACGTTATTGCATATTTTTGGCTCTTCGTATTGCAGTTTGTTTTTATATCAGATAGGTCGTGGCTTTAAATTTAACTGATATCCAGAATATCGGACATTTTGGGCTGCAGTTAACCGCGTGTTTCCAGATTTCTTTGATGATAATACAATAAATTTTACCAAAGAAAATCAACTGTGTTCCTTTTTCTTTTTTTACAATTCTCTCAAGTGGAACACCATTTTTATATCGGCTAATGATTAGCAAGTTAGACATCGCAATCTAACTACACTGGTTAAAATCAATTGTCAGTTGAACGTTTTCATATCCGCTGGTGAACAGCAACAAGTTAAACATCGCAATCTAACTACACTGTTTAAATCCGATGGTTAAAATCAATTCTCAGTTGAACGTTTTCACATCCGCTGGTGAACAGCAACAAGTTAGACATCGCAATCTAACTACACTGTTTAAATCCGATGGTTAAAATCAATTCTCAGTTGAACATTTTCATATCCGCTGGTGAACAGCAACAAGTTAAACATCGCAATCTAACTACACTGTTTAAATCCGATGGTTAAAATCAATTCTCAGTTGAACATTTTCATATCCGCAACTAAAATATCAAAGTCTCAGAATTAATACCATTTTAATTTAAAATTTTTATTTTTTAACTTGAATTTTTTTTAGAAAATAATAAGTAAAATTCAAGTAATTTATTTTAATAAGTGCTGTTGGTTTTTTATGTGTATGTGCGTGAACGTTTATTAAAAATAATTCTTTTCTAGCCGAAAGTTT